GTCATACCAAAAGACGTTAAAAGATGGTACTTGTTGTTACCCTGTCTGGCGCTCGGCTTTAATGGGCTAAAACAAGGACTGGTCGGCTCGGAGTCAGTTTACTGTGTCTGAGTGGGGTATTCATGTTAAACTGCGGCATGGTATCTCAGTGGGCTAGCACTATAAATCGGCATCAGTCCGGACTAGTACAAGCAGTCACACACACACACACACACACGTGCAATAATCTTGGACGCGACGTTAAACCCCATTTCACCTCACCTCACCTAAGGGGCGGTCGGGTAGCCTAGTGATTAAAGCGTTCGCTCGTCACGCCGAGGACCCGGGCTCGATTCCCGACATGGGTACAATGTGTGAAGCCCATTTCTGGTGTCCCCCGCCGTGATATTGCTGGAATATTGCTAAAAGCGGCGTTAAACCATATTCACTCACTCACTCACCTCACCTAAACTTCCTTGCTTCCCCATCGCCACCCTTTGTATTCAAAGACATTTCCGTCTTGCGCCTGTTCACAACAGTCACGTTATCAACTGTACTGTCAGTCTGAAGAGATATGAAGACAGTTTGAACAAGATCTCAACTAAGTGTTTCAACAAGCGGTCCTTGTTATCACCCCCAATCTTCCGCATTTAAACAGCCAGTTCCTTAAGCCCACTCGGACGGAAAACGAAGGCCAAAACCCAGGGTGACCAAATTTCTAATTTAAAAATTCGTTCAATCAATTAAAGCTATACGATTACAATATTGTGACATATGTAAGGAAACATTACGTTGCGAGGGTGGGGGAATTGTCATTGACAAGAAACGGAAACGAAGACGATGTAATGTCACGGGAAATATCTATGGAACGATTGTAAAATGATGTGACAACTTACGGTTTCGTTGTCCTCATTTCTCCGAAACATATTCCTTCGTATATCTATTTATCTCCGGGGAAATTTCGGCGCAGAATAGGTCTCAAGTGCGCCACGTTTGTCGCCGACTTATATGGATCTTATGGCAAGAGCCGAAGTATTGAGGATCGAATGGCTACAGGCGACTAATAAAGATAGGAAGGGTAGAGTCAACCAATGACGATCGAAAGGCTAGAGCCGACTAATAGTGGATCGGACGGCAAGAGCCGAATAATGACGATCGGATGGTAATTGTTGCATGGCTTTGCATTAAACTGTCTTCGATTATATACATCAACTGCTGAAATTATAAACAGTGTGAAATAAAGCATGCTTGAGCTTAAGTACATAAAATGTGCATGATATTGTAGCGGCCATAAAATTTCCGAGTCCCGTGATGGGATTCGAACCACAGACCTTCTGACCGAGGTCGGACGCCTTGTCCACATGACCAAAGAGGCTAAGCTGACAAGGTAAGGATGTCATCTGTGGGACGACTCCACGCCCTTCCACATACTCCCCCGTCAACAGAAGGCACGTCCCGGGCCGCATAGTAGGGTACTGAGGCTTATTTTGCTCAGCCCAACGTTGGGCGCCAATGTTGCGGCCATAAAGTTTCCGAGTCCCGTGATGGGATTCGAACCACGGACCTTCTGACCGAGGTCGGACGTGTTGTCCACATGACCAAAGAGGTTAACCCCGTCAGCAAACTGACAAGGTAAGGATGTCATCTGTGGGACGACTCCACCCCCTGCCACAATATATCTTTCTTAAAACTACCATGGGCCGGACGAACGGACAGTCTGACGGACACTACCTATATCACATGAGAGGGCACGGGTGGCCCACTCGTCTGTGATTCGCCGTGCAGAGTTGCGTCCCTTGGGCACGCCATAAACCTATTATTGAGGGTTCGAATCCCTGTTCGCCCCGATTATGTTTCTAGGTTTGTCAGCACCATACCCGTGCTCGTGGGTTTCACCGAAGTGGTAAACGTCTGAGACCTGTATCACTTCGGGCTTTCCTCCCACATTAAGCTGACACGCCGTGATATAACTGTAATACTGTTAAAAGCGGCGTTAAACTCAACTCACTCACTCGTTCACATGAACATTGTGCTTGCTTGAACCGGAGAAAATGCAAGATAGAGAATTTGCACGTATTGAGAATTAGTGTATTTATTATATATCTCATCAAGGTAGAGCAAACAAATATTTAAATATGAATTTCTATATGAACATGCTTTCGCATACATTGTTCAGTGTATCCTGTAGAAGTACAGACAAGTGGCGCGATCGTACTCCCATACTTAGACATAGCCATACGATCATAGTGCAAAAGGGCGGTCGGGTAGCCTAGTGGTTAAAGCGTTCGCTCGTTACGCCGAAGACCCGGGTTCGATTCCCGACATGGGTACAATGTGTGAAGCCCATTTGTGGTGTCCCCCGCCGTGACATTGCTGGAATATTGCTTAAAGCGGCCTAAAACCTCACTCACTCACTCACATATTCATAGCGCAAAGGCCCAGATGAACTTAATGATATATTGAGCTCGTACTGTTTATTTTATTATTTGAAACTAGCTAAATAGCGATACCAAAACATCACAAACATCGCATTAAGAATATTTCACAGATTCTCATTGTATATTCCGTTTAATAACTGCCAAGGCTCGCTAAATACAATGTTTATTCCTAATGCAGGATATTTACCATCCCCAAACACACTCGCGTGATAACCTCTTTATCATATAATGTCATTCTTTAATTCTGTGCTTAAAAATCGCTTTCCCTCACTCACAAACATTACCGAAACATTGCGAGTTTTCCTGGAATGCGCGCATTAATATTTATTACGTCACAGGGTAAGTGATGTGTCAGTCGGACAGTGACAGTAGCCAATATAGTTCCAACTGAAATCTGTTTCTTATACAGTGGCCTAGCAACATATACGCAAATCAACAATTGTTTTTAATTGTCTTTCGCGGCAATCCATCGGTCTGTCCGCTAGAGTAACTGCCCTTTGTCAAAGGGAAACTACTCTAACCCTAGTCTATGAGACGTCAAGGCCACGGTCAGATGTTGTCGACAGTCGGTCTGTCCTGTCATAACGATAAGAAGTGTTGTCAGATGTACACACAGCGACAAAACGAAACAAGGTAACAATTCAAACATATTTCCGCCAAATCCAACTTTTTTAATTTGTGGAGGAGGTTTCAAGCCGCAGAGGTCTACAAGCACAGATATGGCTACTGATCCCGCTTGGCTAGGTCTCGTGCCCTCGCCAAATTGTTTCGAAATGTATATCTCCAAAGTTTCCAAAACTTATAAAATGCCTTAGCTACGTCACAGTTAGACACAGATTTTCTGTATATTAGACTGTTCTTTTGATAATGATAGCAATTATCCCTGTAGTTTATCCAGATTCCCGATGGTTAATTCTGACTCGATCGCCGAATGACGAGTGCGACGCCGTGTTTGTTTATAAACAGTGAAAGTAGTCCCTACGTGACCTTTGATATTTGCATCTCTATCCGCATATGACCCCAACGGATATCGTTTTTATCCGTTGGCTTTATCCTGCCGAGAAACCTACCCATTATATGATAAAGAAAGTTACACGTCTGATTTAGACAGGATTTTATTACAGAAACGATCGTAGTAGTTGAGCCTCGCACTTGTCAATTTCACGTGTGAATGTAGGGCTGTTCAGTTAACATTGTAGACCCCCTTGTAACAACAGGCATTATTACCTAAAGCGACAAAACCCTTTCCATATCCAATAGAAATCTCTGCATGAAGCTGAGTCGACTGTTCAATTCCGACCACATCATGAGTATGTGTTTGTGAATCACTATCAAGTAGTATAGACACCAGGTGCTCGTGAAAACAATTACATGCGAGTTTCTTGAACAACTTTTGTCTGCACTTCATGACAGTGTCTGAAATTATGGTGACGAGTTGGACAAATAAATAACTTTCATGCCTTTTAAGACGAATTGTTTCTTTCGGATTTATATCTATTTTGCATTTCATCTGTAAGATTCTGCAGCAGACTGTAGATAGATATTATTGGATATGATACATTACAGACCTTGACAGGGTTTTTCCAAGTACGTGCGGATATTATTTCTAATATGCACTTTGACCCTCCAGGCTAATGGGTCTATCTAAGGTACTTCCGCATTGCTTTAGAACAGATGGATACAGGTATATTTACAGGTGTGGCTGCCATGAGTTGTGGTCCATATATTTGTTTATAAGAATTAATACTTGTTTTGTTTGTGTTACTTTTTTACCGCCCAAAGAAGAAACACGAAACAAAATACACGAAAGTTTGTTTGTTTGTTGTTTAACGCCGCACTCAGCAATATTCCAGCAATATGACGGCGGTCTGTAAATAATCGAGTTTGGATCAGACAATCCAGTAATTGAGCATGGGTTGCTGAAGACCTATTCTAACCAGGATCTTCACGGGTCGGAAAGTTGTTTCACTTTGGTTAACCAACGATCATTGCTATGATAGTGCCGACAAACCGTGGAATCATCATCATTATCATCATCATCAGGGCCAGTGGCTATTCAACCCACGTTCAGCAGAACCTGGCACGACTAAGGGACGCAGCTCTGAACAGCTAATAAGATGCATGCCTAGTTTCAAATAACTAATGGTTCATAAAAATCTAAGCTTGGAAGTTATGACCATCAACAACACATATTAATATATTTGAGTGAGTGAGTGAGCCGCCTTTAACGCCGCTTTTATGTTTCTAGGTTTGTCTGCAAAAAAAAGCGGGATTCGAACCCACAATCATAGCTTTCTGGCGTGCCCAAGGGACGCAATAATATATTTGAAATCAAGATCCTTTTGAGAGATCCTAAATATTGAATAGTGGGTGAAAGAGTTTAGCATTTCGTTGAACAGTCGTTTTGTTGTCACTGCGAACCAACGATCATAGGATCCCGGCTCACCCAAGGGACGCAAGTCCCAACGTATTAAGGCACCTGAGACGAATGGGCTAAACGTGCCCCTTCAACTGGGATTAAAGTGTCAAATCTAAACATAATAACCCTTACGAACAATCTCAAAGACAACACATACGATGTAGAAATGTTGATCACATTTTAATAAATCTTATACAGAAGGCAATTACAAAAGCTAGGTCTGAAACTGTCTACACGTGTGACATATTTTGTAAGTATGTACACTTGGGAGGCATTAGAAAGTTTCACGGAACCCCCTGATTCAAACAACGACGAGGTTAAAGTTACGTTCCCTGTACACATAAACAATGCATAAACACAATAAAAAATAATAATCAGTTAAATATCGTCAATACTTCAAAGGTTTCTGTACACTATGTTCCTCTGTTACCCGTGAATACATGCGACCTCCATGTTGTGTAGTAGCTATTTTCAACCAACGAGACACGGTCTAGTTCAAACTTTGGGAAAACCACCGATGGCTCAGACCAATGAGCGCTCAGTTTACATCGAACAGTGACATAGCTTTACAATCATCAGCTCTACACTTACTTGAATATCAAGCAATGATAAAGTTCACGTAAAGTTCATGCACAAAGTCGAACCAATCGACTTCCTTGGGTGATAAACGACCTCATATCATTAGTGACTGAAAATTTACGTCACTATTATGACGTATGTTACGTCACTATTATGACATACGTCACTATGACGACGTATGTATTAACGGGTGATGGACGAACGTAGTGTATACAAATCCTGTGAAATACTGACGATAACGTAACAGCGTATGTCAATTAAAACACAGTGTCACTAAAGTGGAACCTTACGCCCTGGGTCCCATTTCACAATGGCATCGTAACTCTACAACTGTCGTAGTAAGACCGAGTTACGACAAGCGTAGCGCTACGATCCCTTCGTGAAACAGGGCACTGGAATGAACTTTGCCATGTATCCTATAAATATATAGATATAGACATAACAAAAACTGCTTAAGTTAAAGCAAGTAATACAAAAAAATCTCCAATGTTATTAATCCTCAACTATCCTAAATTGAATCATGACAAGAAAGTCTGCCTATGTTGTCTACAACTCACTCTAATAAACAAACCAATATATCAAGGTCCACTTAAGACCTCTTACTGACACTTAATCATAACAATATAAGTATTTAAAGTGTAGCACTAGGTATTAATTATCATGGTCAACAAATAGACTTAGCAAAGATTCTTTTTACGCGTTTATTCCAATCTTAGAGCAAAATCTTAGGGCGAGACATTTTCGTGACCAAGCTGCCCTACGTATAAGCACATGGTATGTCTATGTGACCATAATATGAGCACTGGTTTTTGTTGTTACCATATGATGGTCCTCAGAGCAGACAGTGACATCATGTCAGGGAAAATATTCGGCCCTTTATCACTTGGCTTAACACTGCTTTGAAAAGTATTTCAGCCCGGAGTGATGCAGGTCTTAGACTTTACCACATGGGTTAAACCTAAGAGCACAGCTATGGTGCCGACAATCCTAGAAACATAATCAGGGCCAACCAAGATTCGAACACATGATCATAGGTTTCTGGTTTATCAAAGGGATGCAACTCTGCACTGCAAATTGCAGGGCCTGAGATGACTGGACCACTCGTGACCCTTTCATTTTTAATGGTTAGTAGGTCTAATCTCGTCAAAGGACAACATCTAATGGTGTACTGGGTCTGACCCTGCTTGGCACAGTATTCCAGTTATATCACAGGGTGTCAGCTTCAAGTGGCAGATACTGTAATAAGCGTCCCTGACATTCATCACTTTGGTGAAAGCCACGAGCACTGGCATGGCGCTGGCTGACAGACCACGATCATAATCTGGGGAAACCTAATGGCTCCTGGAACAAGTGAGTGAGTGAGTACGGTTTTACGCCACTTTTATCAATATTCTAGCAATATCACCGCGGGGGACACCAGAAATGGGCTTCACACATTGTACCCATGTCGGGAATCAAACCCGGGTCTTCCGGGTGACGAGCGAACGCTTTAACCACTAGGCTATGCGACCGCTACTTCCTGGAACTGGGCACTGAACATCACTGCCTGTGCACTTCAACTTCTTAATTAATCCCACCTAGCACATATCTACTTAATGGACACCAAGACACACTGTTGCTACGGTAATTTCTGCAACAATAAACATAATCCTATGTTCCTCAACAAATATCTTCCTTATCTACCACAAGCTAAGATACAACAATGTGGTCTTGTTCAGATGCTGGTGAGTGAGTGAGTGAGTGAGTGAGTGAGTGAGTATGGTTTTACGCTGCTTTTAGCAATATTCCAGCAATATCACGGCGGGAAACACAAGAAATGGGCTTTACACATTGTACCCATGTTGGGAATCGAACCTGGGTCTTCGGCGTGATGAACGAACACTTTTAACACTAGGCTACCCGACCGCCCCTCAGATGCTGGTGAAGCTACATTGGTTAAATATATTTCAACAGCAATAATGGGACTGAATTGATACTCTGGAAGGTGCCTATGTCATCTTCTTCAAAATAATTACATCCAGAAATACTAGAAATTACAACTTTGCCTCAGATCTTACAAACAATTATGGTTCATTGGACATGCTGAATGCCCTGAAAAAATGAAATTATTTGGCTTCTTTCCGGATAAGAAATATGTGCCCAACAAATACTCCAGCGCCCTGAATTTTAAATGTTTGGTTGCTGACAGGACTCTCAATACCATATATCATTACCTCAGAGTAATAATAAATCTTAGTGTGATACACACAGACATGCCCTTAACAATTTGTTATCTCCACTACTACACATAAATAATTATACAAGTGAGTGAGTGAGTGAGTGAGTTGGGTTTGACACCACTTTTAGCAATATTCCAGCAATATCAAGGCAGGAGACTCCAGCTATGGGCTTTACACATATTACCCATGTGGGGAATCGAACCCGGGACTTTAGCCTAAAGAGCGAACACTTTAACCACGCGGCTACCCCCCTGCCCATAAATAAGAGTAACCAAGTATATTTGAATATAAAATACTTAACCAAATAAATATATAACAGTTTCCATGTGCTCAAGAATATGTCTGCAAGTTAAGAATCATGACAGAAGTACAAGGACAACGACTATCTGTCTGTAAGATAAATGTGGCTTCAATTCAATGTGCTACATAACAACACTGTTAAAATGGAGGTTGTCGTAAATAATAACCATACATATAAAAATACCAGGATGATGATGACGACATAACTTGATAATATAAAACTGAAACCTTTGTGGTACCAAATACTGATATTGAAATTATCAATACTAATAACCATGATTTCTTTTGGTGACAAATGGTCATATAACATACATGATAAGCGATGATCACAAGAACAGGTTAAAGATGTTTCCCTTTTTTTAAAATGCAAATAACTACAATCTTAAAAACATTTTAAATTTGAAAAAATTCATCCCTTTGGCACTAACAATGAAATATCAACATACAGAAATAAACTTCAGATAAATTTTCATTTTTATCTGCAAATTATTCAAGCTTTGGTGAAATTATTCAAGATTTAGTTAAGTCCACTACATAGAGTAACAAGAGTGATCTCCCTTACATCAAGAAACCAAACGGTTTTCAGCAGAGACCTGGCACCTACAGGAATGATGCCTAATAATATCGACATAAAATCTTGTACACAAGTGAATCCTAGAGACATTGTCAGGAGTACAGTAAATGTTTGGTTCAGTCTGCAAGATCTGTATTTCTTACAAAAGGACTTACTACTTCACTGTTATGCGTGAGTGGGTGAGAGAGATTGGTTTTACTCTGTTGTTGGCAATATTCCAGCGATATCACAGCAGGGGATACCAGAAATGGGCTTCACACATTGTACTCATGTGGGGAATCGAACCAGGGTCTTCGGTGGGACAAGCGAACGCCTTCACCACCAGGCTACGCCATTGCCCCACCACTCTAATGAAGCCCACGAGCATGTGTCTGGTGCTGACAAACCTACATGCATAACCATGGTGAACAGGGGTTTAAACCCATGATCACAGGATCCTGGCACACCTAAGGGCCACAACTACACAGTAAATAGCCAGAGTCGTGTCACCACTGAACCAAACAGTTACACATACTTATAAGCTAACAATATTAATGTCACAATCCAAATGATTCCTGATGAAATGTATTTATTTTTAAATAAACGACTACGATAGTAAAACACAGTTAAAAATGAGATGCTTCACATAATAATCTTATGGTTGTTTGAATCAGGGCGAATCTCCATTCATACTGTTATGACACACCTACCGATGTCTTTAAATACATACATGGTACGGCAACTTTGGTTGCCTATTTCATAGACCTACATATATATGGTAAAAATAGAAATTCTTCCATTTTACTTTTGTACATAGTAATGGCACAAGTCTTTATACAATTTACATGTTGCCCTTCAGGAAATTAGCCATGTATACAGCCGCGCTGTCTCTAGAGGCGCTATCAGCCAGGTTAGTACAGAGGGTTCGTGACGCATGGGAAACCTGCAACGATTGGCTGATTCTTGGCTGCCAAGTCACACCCCTTGTCCAAGGCACCCAATCACAGTTCTTCATATATACAGCACGGATGTGGTGATGTATGGAGCTTGGATAAAACAGTCTGGCATTGTCTGCAACCACAACCAAACTGACAGGGGCAACGAGTCCGGGTCGTAGACATGATTGCTTGTCGGTTCAACTGGCTTTCAGTGTCCGATACAGAATCCCAGCCAAAAGGCCTCTAAAAGAAATCGGTGACGAGGCCAGGAGGATGAGTTTAGCACTTATATATACGCCACAAAGTCTTGAGTTTTCTCCATAAAGGCACTGTGCTACCAACAAAGGCACAGGAGATCGTAGCGCCGTCTACCAAGACCACACTCCCATTCACCACTCCAAGAGTCGTCTCCCCTATTTCCATTATTTACATGTCAGTGTTTTTATTTACAATTTATTCATAAAATACCATTATAAAAAGGCTATTCCTATATTCATAAATATTAAATACTTTTAAAAATTTGAATTTTGAAATCAAATTTCTAAAGGGAAACTAATCATAGTTACAATGTTCTTTTCAAAATCCATATAAAAAAGTATCGATCTGTCTATAAAAAATAACCTACAACTCAAATGTAACTCTTTACAGAGGAGGAACATAAGAACTGGCAACAGATGAAGATGTCATAGGTGGACATATATCCAAATTGGAGGTGAGAACAATCGATGATTGTTAGTGTCACAACATTGTGATGGCATATCAGTTCTGTCTGTCCAATCACTGTGAGAATAGCTCCATCAGTCTTGTCACAACTGGTTATTGTAATTTGATGTAGAGTCCGGACTGGCCGTGGTGTTCCTGCCAAACAGTCGATCCACTTCTCGACTGTGTTGTCGGGGACCGGGCTCTGGGGTGTACGTGAAGGTGAGTCCCGTCGCGTAGATCACACCGTCGTTACGCACGAGGCATACAGGCACCTGCAGACAGACGGTAAACATACTCACACAAAAATAAAAATAATATTTAAAATTAAAATTAAAAGAGATTTTGCAACTTTTGAAGAAAAACTGTTTTTAGGGGATATGAGACAAAGGCTTCAGCTTGAAAGGTCACAGACTTGAATATTCAAATTAAAGCCTGCTGTGATTGTTTGTTGTTTAACACCACACTCAGCTATATGACCACTGTCTGTAAATAATCAAGTCTGGACCAGACAATCCAGTGATTTGGCATAATGAGCTTCGATCCACACAATCGGAATATGGTGACATGCCTCAACCAAGAAGATCAAAGTTATACTTTTGCACGTTATTTTTTAAAACTAGGAAGTGAGTGATGAAATGTAAACTCAGTGTCAGTCAGTTATTTTTTAAAACTATAAATGCATGTATTGTAGTTGATAAGGAAGATTTGAAGTCGCTTGACTAAGGAGACACCACATGTGCTGTATGTGCTTAGAGTGGGACCATTCAAAGCCCAAGAAACTCTCAGGAGTCAAGATGCCAAACATGGTCACCTATGCAATTATTCTTCGTGGCCGATGTTGCTTAAGTTCACCTGATTTGTGTGTAAGACTTACATGTAACTGCTGTCTGACCCACTTCCAGCCGGCGCGAAAGGCAGAGATGTCGGGGACTACACACAGCATGCTCTCGTCACTCCTGAAAGCATCAACATCATCAAAATCAATATCAACATCAACAACATCAACATCCATATCAACATCAACAACATCTGCATCAACAACATCACCATCACCATCATCAACATCATCACCACCATCAACATCATCACCACCATCAGCATCAACATCATCTGCATCACCATCATCCGCATCAACATCTTCCACAAGGAAGAGATTTAATAGATGTCAACTTCTTAATAATGATGAACACAACGTGCTTACACCTTCATCAGGTGAAGGGGTAAGTACTTACTCCGAAACGTTGTGTTCCTCATAATAAAGAACGGCATCACAGTGTGCAACACTTGCTGTTAGTCCGAACCTGGTTCTAACCAAATGTCACTCTGTCGCGTAAGCTGAGACAAACAAATCTATGGTTTTACGCCGCAATATTCCAGCATTATCTCAGTGGGGGTCACAGGAAATTGGGATTCATTAATTGTACCCATGTTGGCAATTGAACCCGGGTCTTTGTCATGACGAGCCAACACTTTCACCACTGGGCTACCAAAAATCTACAGGAAATGAGACAGGAAGAAACGTTAGGAGATGAAATGTTACCGGTACATTTCCTACCTCATACGGTCACTAACCTGAACATGGTCTCTGCCTCCACATCGCCGAACCACACTTTGAGAGCAGGGGTAAAGTTCTCTCCGTTCAGTTCCAACATTGCAACATCACCGCCTCCATTCAACTGAAACACAAAGTTTATTCCTCTAACATGTGTTTCTAAATGACCATTTAATCACAAGGAAACTAATCATATTGGACTTCAGGATCGCATCTGAAGATGTCAAGAGTTGTCTCCCTTCCCATAATTCTAAAAGACCAATTGATTGAATGTTTTTGCTTACTGTGTTCTGCTAATCTGAAGAGTCTTGCCCAAAGCTAGGCTGACCAACAAACCCTAACACCCACCCTCTGCAGTGCTGTACCCAGCTGGGGGGGCACTTGCCCCTCCCCTCTGGATTTTTTATAGAATCATGAAAATACAAGATGGGGACAAGTGATACTTGTACAAATATTTGCCCCCCTGTCAAAAAAAGTTAACTACGGCCTTGCTCTGCCAACCTAACTTTGCTTTCAATAACAGTATTTTCGTGTTCATGATTACTTGACAAGAAACAGGCACGTGTATGGTGGTGTTAACCAAGAATCATAATCAGGGCAGGTCTGGGTTTCAAACCTATGATCAAAGGATCCTGGCAAGCCTATCAAAGGGACACAACTCTTCATAGCCAATTGTAATCAAATACAAGTCAGGGCTCAACTTAGCAATACAGGACATTCACAAGGGCAACCTGTTATTGAAAAATGATATTCATAAATACATGCACTAAGTTCATGTACAAAACATATTGTGTGTGACTAACCTCTTTTTTTTGGTCAACACAAAATGGATTTTTGAACATGCTCAATGCCTCTAAAGTTTATTAACCATACTACATCTTGCCACGTCATGTCTTGTCATGCTTGAAGCCATCACACTGAAGGTTCTTCAAGGTTATGTGCAGGTTCCTATTTCATTTCACACCACTGTGTCAGTAATTAAAATTACCCTGGCACGTATCGGTCTGTTAAACTTTGATAAATTTATGAGACAAGGGTGCAACCTGGTTTTGTTAGGTGCAAATGGTTTTCATGTCAACATGCACCTGCTGCAAGCTACATCCTGCAAGACCTGCAGTGTACTCACGTGTAGGCTGTGTACGACCGGGACAGGAGTTAGCGGGTTCTTCACTGGACCCATGCCCTCGAAGAAGGTGTATTCAGCCTTGTCCGTGCTGATGATTGTCCAAGATGCACCATCATTAATCATTTCCTTGTTTGGCTCTTTAGGACATGGAGTTGCCTGGAGAAGAGAGTGAGTGAGTGAGTGAGTATGGTTTTACGCCGCTTTTAGCAATATTCCAGCAATATCACGGCGGGGGACACCAGAAATGGGCTTCACACATTGCACCCATGTCGGGATTCGAACCCGGGTCTTCGGCGTGACGAGCGAACGCTTTAACCACTAGGCTACCCGACCGCCCCCCTGGAGGAGAGAAACACGGCAGCATTCAGGAACCTGGCACGAGCACATCACCTCACCCTTCAAAGCTAATAACAAAACTATACACTTTAAGACTAAACCTTTGTCGTAAGTAGCTCACCGTTTGTAATTAGCTCACCATTTGTATAATATAATTATGTTTTAATTTTAAAATATCGCTACTGGGAACATAGCGTTAGCAGTAATCTGAAATGGGACTTTTCATTCCATTTTGGAAGTCTTACAAGAACTGTAGGCCTGAGGTTGAATATCAGCCTATGGGATGCACCCTTAAATTGGGGAATAATATCTAGAATAATTGGTTATCATTATCAACATGATTCACAGCATAGACTTGGTGAAAATATATCATCTTTGGTGTTTCTGGTATATACTACTCAAAAGAAGTTGAGGAACACCCCATTCTTTCATATTACTTCAGTTAATGTGTCATCTTTTGGATTTACAGTTTATTATATAATTCCTTCCCATTACAAGCTAAAACAAGTGATTATTAATCAATTGTCAGTGTTAATTGGTCGAATGTTTGACAATGACTGCATTGAGGCCAATATCTAGTTAATAACATGTAATGATTTTTTTGGACAATTCTGAATATATCTGACTTAATCGTAGTGGGTGAAGTTACCCGTAGTATGACCAGCCTCTGTACACTCACCTGAAACTGTATGATTCTTTCCTGAGACAGACACAGGTACATCCTCTCCGTGTCCTTCAGGTAGAATGAACATTTGTGCAGCTGTGACACAGGGTCGTCCGCATCTAGCAGCGCCGTCTGCTTGTCAACCTTACGGATTATCTGAAAGAAGAATTACTGCAATTGTCACAATCACATCAAATGCACATATGGTGATTGGATTAATTGGAGCTGAGCTCTTCAATAAGCTCTGCAGATCGCACATGGATTTCTTAACATGTACATCTCTTGAACACTGCACAACCAAAAGCTACATCTAACAGTAAAGATCCTTTCCACACGCAGGCACGCACGCAGGCAGGCAGGCAGGCGCGCACCGCACGCACGCACACACGCATGCACGCACGCACGCACGCACACACGCACACACACACACACACAAACACACACACACAAACACACACAAACACACACACACACACTTTTAAGGATACTGCACTTTTCTGAGATTTATAGCAGTAAACATGGCTAAAATTCAAGTACTCGTTTAGGTGTGGTGGCAATAGGGCTTTCTTTAACTTAATAGAGCAGTTCTAAAGTTCCATGTACGATAAAAAGGCTATTCCCTACATTTTGAGACGTCCACCATCCAACGTCGAACTAAATTGCAGAAATATATGTCCTTGAAGCGATTCTTTTGTCAAGCAAATCCTACGTAACAATATTTCTGATAGTGAAGCAGAACTTTCGATGATATCAGGTTAACTGATTTGTTGTTCTTTTCAAACCCAAAATGAAAACGTCTGTTTTAAAGCAAAAATATCAGAGCTGTTATTAATTTAACCTTGTAAATCCCAAGAAAAGCTGATTTTGTTGGATGGAAAACTTGACCAACTCTCAAAGAAATAAAGAATCGTATCTGACACAAACTGCTCCCCAATTTTATTCTGCAGCAACTGAATCATGAATCAACTGAATCATAACTGACCAAGCGGGGCAGCGCCATGCCAGTGACGGAGCAGACCAGTTTGACGGTGGAGCCGTAATGGATGTAGCCGTCCCTGACGGTGAACTCTTCAGACTCATCCTCATTGTCATCCACTGAAACAGGTCAATAAAGGTCAAGGTCAAGGTGAGGTAAAATCAGGTTAAATGTCTTGTTCCAAGATAATTGCACTACATAGCGACGTGCATGCATGTTTGTGTGTGGCTGCTTGTTCTAATCCAGACTAGTTTTATAGTTCTAGCAAGAGATACCATGCTGTAACTTAACATGAATATCCCACTCACACACACAGTACACCAACTCTTGGCCATATTCCAGCAATATGAGAGCGGTCTGTCAATAATCGAGTCTGGACCAGACAATCCAGTGATACATATTATAAGCACATTCACATCTTAGCATTATGATGAGAGGGAATCAGCAAAGTCACCAAGTCTTACCACCTGAACCAGAAGCACCAAAAGGATATTAGACAATCAGAGCATGTTGTTCTCTGAGGCTTACATAAGTGTATTGTGAAGGCTCCCCACTGCGTAGAACTTGCATGGAAGTTGCCATTTTCCACATGGAGGTAGCGAGTGCTCACAGTCTGGGACCTCAGTCGGTTGAATAATGCAACTTTGGTCCCTGAAGCTATACATACTGAAATAAACAAACAACAACAAACTTCACAACATGTTTGCAAAACGAGAGGACATCATCGCGAGCACCAAACACTTTCATCAAAATTATCACACATTGGACAAATCATAGACTCACATAAGAATTGAGTTATCTCCCTTTGACCATCCAGTCGAATACTGAACAACGGAATGGGACCATGAAGTACTTTTTTATTAATTGTAGCTTTGAAATGCTGATATTAAATGTCTGGACAAAATTCTCAAAAAAATACATGCTAAATATCCACAAGAATAAATTTTGACCTACACAACGAAAGTTGCTTCACAAATCTTAACATAAAAAGACCCACGGAACAAATTAAATGTCCAACACAGATATTGATTCCGCAATTCAATAACATTACCGTTATAACAGAAAACATACCTCAAGATGACAACTCACTTGCATAATATTCTCATTTGAAATTAGGTTCCCTTGATCAAATTGATGTTGAACATTTTAAAATAAACAAGTTTGTTAATAAGCCCATGTATCTGATCTAACCAACACTACAATAACATTACCTTATCTCTTAGATATAGACACACATGCATTAGGCACCAGCTTCTTATCAATAGCATGACTAAACAAAACTCTTCCTCAGGCATAAATGGAGACCAACAATTTCCAGACCATCCTCTGTTATCCAGGGTATTTTATCTCCCGTCTATTAGGATAAATACGGAGCCCACTTATCTCAATTTCTTTGTTGTAAGTCTGGTTCAAATGACGTGAAGCTAGTAATAGCAATGCAATCAAGTCTTCCATGATTCACACAAACAGTGATATCAACTATACTTGACTTTCACAAGCTGTCTCAAATACACCAGGTGCATAAGGACTTCTCCCACCGACCTCACTCCCCTATCAGTGTACTCAAGAAAACATCTTTTACAGCTAAAAGTCTTCTGATTTTGAATAAATTAATTTCAGAGGTCGTAATGGAGGAGGTCGTAATATTGAATGTATGTCTGAGCCGAACTTTCTTTAAGAGGCATTTTCATTAGTTGTTGATTTCAAGCTGATGTGTGAGAGAAGTTCCGTGGTAAGTTGGAGATACGAGAGATGACGTTGGTGTCCTCACTTCAACAGTGAGTGAGTTTGATTTTATGCCACTTTTAGCAATATTCCAGCAATATCACGGCAGGGGACACCAGACACCAGGGCGTCAAACATTTTACCCATGTCAGGAATTGAACCCAAGTCTTCAGCGTGACAAGCGAACGCTTTAACCACTAAGCTACCCCACTGCCCCTTGAGTATTTATCAAAAGAGAACGGAGATATAACACTGGATAACAAGTGCTACAAACTGCCAGGCTTCTGTTGACATTAAACATCGACGCTAACAAAGACATTATCCTTCAATACAATGTAAAAATTGTGAAAGGAGAACTCTTAGAAAGTAATATAATGACACAACTTACAATCTGCATTTTTAAGTGACTGCTTTTTCTTCGAGGGTTTTGAGATGACCTTAATCCGTTTACTGTGGAACAGCCCAATGTCTTGCCCATTTCCATGAAACATTTTCACAGACAACATAAAGTGTTTTCTCTTATCAGAGTCCGATATATACAAGGTTTTAGCTGCACAGTAATTCTGAAAAACAAGCCAAAGAAGACAATGTATTTATATATCAACAGGACAAGGATGATTAAACAATGCACTACTTGCAAGATTACCAAGAGCTACAGCTCATTAAAATCTTGTGAATTTTTCAGTACTGTTACCATGGTTACAGAATCATTCCTCTTGTATCAAGAATGTGAAGAAAAGTAAAAAGTGCGAGCCACACCTTTGACAACTGCCCCCATGGCATTATTGAGTTGTTTTACACAAGTTAGTAAAACCCATAAAGCCCCTCCTGTAAGTCCCCCCTTCCCGTAAGTCTCCCACTCTCCCGTAAGTCTCCCCTTCTTGTAAGTCTCCCCATCTCCTCCAAGTCTCCCCCTCTCCCATAAGTCTCCCCTTCTCCAGTGAGTCTCCCCTTCTCCTGTAAGTCCCCCCTCTCCCTTAAGTTTTCCCTTCTTGTAAGTCTCCCCCTTTCCCTTAAATCTCCCAATAGTCTCCCCCTCTCACGCAAGTCTCCCACTCTTTATCAACAAAATGTCTCCCCCTCAAAAAGTCTCCCCTTCTCCCGTAAGTCCGCCTTTTTGTATGTCTCCCCCTCACCTTGCCCTCGAGGTTGAGTTGCACCATCTCCTGGTCGGAATTGCCGATGCCCATAAAGGCACACACTTGTGTGTCCTGCTCCGACGCCCCGTCTTCCTCCATCTGCTGCTTCTTCCTCTTCCACCCGTTGCCAAACAAATATATACATGGTGGCGGGCAGAAAAACCTGCAAACAACAAACAAATATATACATGATGGCGGGCAGAAAAACCGGCACACAACAAACAAATATATACTTGGTGGCGGGCAGAAAAACTGGCACACAACAAACAAATATATACATGGTGGCGGGCAGAAAAACCGGCACACAACAAACAAATATATACATGGTGGCGGGCAGAAAAACCTGCACACAACAAACACAGGGTCACTCAACAGACCACAATATTTCTTTCATAAGTTCCGTATAATCCAATCATTACATTAAAATTCTGAGTCATCCTTATGTGGAATTTCGGGAATTGAAACCGGGTCTTCGGCATCATGAGCGAACGCTTTAACCACTAGGCTACCTGACCATCCAAAATCATTAGTGGTAATAGTACATCAAGGCAGCAAAATATATTCACACCTGATATTGATTTCTGGCTCTTTTCACACATCTGGCTTATTTTTATATATTTCATTTCAAACAGAGAGTTACCCACTCTCCGTGTGAGAAATTGCAAGTTTCAGAAAATACTTGGAGTAAGTATGTCAAAAAAGGGAAGAAACGTAAAACATGGCAACTGAACGCCAAGAGGAACACATCACCCTTATCCAGTTTGGGTTGAAGATTCCCGGGTGATTGTTCCCGATATTGCACACATTTGCAGTGTCCATGTAGCACTTCATCCGTCTCACAGTACAACAAATTGTATACGCAAAATACATACAACATATCTCTATTTCAACTAAGAAGTAGGTTGGTTTTAATAATTACCTTTTCTCATTTCCGTACGATTTCTGCGCCACTTTGGCATGTAATATCACAAGGATCTGATCTCCACGATCTCGTAAGTACTTCCTCATGTTCTCTCTGCAAGACATCAACATCAACATCATATAAACATCACATCTAAAATACAAAAGTAATTACTTTTTAAAGGGTCCTATGATTTTGTTTGTGTATTTTGTAACATTAAACTCAATAATATTTCAACTATATGACGGCACATAGGAAATAATCCAGTGATTGACATCATGAGCATCGATCCACGCTACAGAGATACGATGACATGCATCAACCAAGTCAGCAAGGCTGACCACCTGATCCAATTAGTCGCCTCTTACGTCAGGCATAGTTGCCTTTCACGTCAAGCATGGGTTGCTGAAGACCTATTCTATTCTACCCCGGATCTTCACGGGAACGAAAAATTCTGAATGAAGGTCAAACGTCCTTGTCACAACCCTAATTATAACAGTAAGAGATGTAAGGGGTCCCGAAACTCAAATACTACAGCAGCATACTTCCAGGACCCCAGCCCCTGCCAACAAACACCATAGCAAGGCGTGTGAGCAGTGACCATGGTGACGGTGACATTAGTCGTAGAGAAAGATGCACCAAGTCCTATCTACAGCTGTTACAATGACTACTGCTGGGTGAATAGAACACCATCTGTAATCAGCTACAAGATTATCTCTGTGAAACCCATGTACTGTGTCGGAAACAGCGAGGGCTGGGGCAAGTTGGTTTGTTGTTTAACGCCGCACTCAGCAATATTCCAGCGGTATGACAGCTGTATGTAAATAACCGAGTCTGGACCAGCCAATCCAGTGATTGATATCATGAGCATCGATCCACGCAATTGGGATTGATGACATGCATCAACCAAGTCAGCGAGCCTGACCACCCGATCCCGTTAGTCGCCTTTTACGACAAGCATAGTCACCTTTTACGGCAAGCATGGGTTGCTGAAGACCTATTCTAACCCAGAACCTTCACAGGTCGGGTGGGGCAGGCAGGCAAGTTGATTCTACGCTGATGGTAGCAATATTCCAGCACAATCACGACACGGTGCGTGACAAATGGGCTTCACACCACACATTGTATCCAGGTGAGGAGGCGAGCCCAGACCTTCAGTGTTCTGAAGGAATGCTTTACCCAGTGAGGGAGAACCATGCTTGTATAGTATTGTCTTATACTGGCATCAGTACAATCTTACAGCTTTCTAAATATGTGAATGAATGTTGTTTTACAACCTAGGCAGCAATATTCAGATCTCATGGCTGCCTGAGGGATTCATATTCAAATTGGGGGAAAAAATTATTTTGTTAAGAAACAGGTGTTCTTTGATAGCTCTATTGGTTCTGATGATAGTGAAATACAAATCACCTCAACGAAGCCACAACTAAAGTTATAACTATAAAAACAGGGCTCGTCCGTTTGTATTGATAAGTGGCAGCATGTGCTGGGCGTGAAAGAAGTGAAGAAATGCTTGTCCTCCCATATAATTTCGAACCTAAAATACATTTTCATTTCGCGTATGTTCATAATAATAACAAGAGTTTGCCACTAATGAGGATATATCCCCCCCGCCCCTGTTGCAGAATTTATGACATAATTAAATCTAAACAAACCCTAACCTATTTTAACCGAGGTGGAACTTGTCATGGAAATTGTAAAAAAAAGAAGAGTTTAAAACCGAAGTCCATCTTGTTGCCATGGAAACGTAAAAAAATAATTTTTTCATAAATTTCTAAATAGCAAAAGGCACCAGTTCAGCATGTACTTGACAGACGTGCAAAGTTTCATTAAAAATATTGAACGGTTTCTGAGTTATGCTCCGGAAACGAAATGTGACGGACGGACGGATGGACGGAGCCCGTTTCCATAGCCCCTGCCAACTTTGTTGGGCAGGGGTAAATAATAAGTAGATGTCGCTCATATCATAATTAGACAGCATACTTGGCAACTGTCTGCTGAAGAAATAAACTAAAGAGTGTTTGCATAGCCAGTCTCAAAACTATTTTTAAAGGGATGCAATTATATATATTATTTTGTTGTAAGGGACTCTTTACTGATTCTCAAAATCAAAGCGAAAAGTGAAAGTGAGGATACTGGTTGTTTTTAATTGGGAATGGTGGGGTTGACAAGAAAAAACATTATTTAATTACCAAACAGGCCCAAAAATTATTTTATTTTTAAAAAAAAGTATGGCTGTGAAAAACGTAGCTGTGAAAAACGAAAACAAATGTACATGGTTGAGTGACGCTGAATGGGCAGAAACGAATGGCAGTGACTGAATTTGTTTGTACTGTCTGTTATTTTATTTTATATCTGTATATATATACTCTCAACTCCATTACAGAAAATTGTAAAAATAACCGAGGACATAAAACTGTATTAAATTTAATAGGACAAGTGAACATATAGCAGGAAGAGTACAGATTGATATCAAAATGCCCTGCAGGACAAGTTGGGTTTAAGACATTTTTCGAGCCCTGAATAATGTGACTTGAGGAAATTTGTAATCCCAAATTACATCTGGGGACAGATATTGGCTCTGAGCAGGTCTGAATAAATCATGGCCGTGGACATGAAGGTGAGTGAGTTATGTGAGTAAATACTTCACATCACATCTGTCCTATCTCAACCACATAGCAGCATGACACAGGTCGTTAACAGGTCTAGAATAGTGGAAAGATAAACACAGAACCACTGTGCCTTAGACATGTTAAATGTCGAACATTTGAAAAAAACATAACAGTGTTATTAGATATAAGTACACAGCAAGCGTGGTAACATTGGCCTATTGGCCTTTTATCCCTGAGAACTCAACAGCTACAGTGCTACTCAGAGATAAGAGACTGGTCCAGTTTTATACTGTTAAAATATGGAGTAGGAACAGAAGCACTTACTTTGTTAATTTCATGTCTTGAAGAGCACTGAAACAGGAGAGAATTGATTATTATCACAACACTAAAATTTGATGTTTGAAACACTTTTGTTTAGGAAGTTAATAATCCTAATTTAAATGAGCTTATTTCAGTACCAAAACAGCTACCATAACAAACTTTATAAGTTAGTGAGTTACTTTATTATATATTGTAAGCCTATGTTAAAGCATGGGAGTTACGATCATCTTAGCGCTAAAATTGCTTTGTGCAAGTGGGCGCAGGTCTTAGGCATTAGGGTGAAACAACACATCAGTGCAACGGTGCATCGCAAGTTTTCATGCGACAATACGATACACGATGTTTTCTTCTGTGTCAATACAAGACGATACACTTAATATATTAAAATATATTACTTAACTCATTTAATGACCCCCCCTGGAATTATGTACGTCAAATATCGCAAGATGTAATTTAATCAGCATTCCAAGTTCACTACAAAAATAGTAGCACGGAACATGTGTCTACAGGTAGCTTTTCATTCAGAACATGTTTCGAAATATTAATAGTCAATACGTTTCCATGCAATTTGAAGTAAATATGTGTATCGAGATATGTATCGTATCGTTACCTATGTATCGTGACACATATCGTACTGTGACCTTGCTGTATCATTTCATCCTAATTAGGCAGGACAAACTAATGCAATAACTCGGTTGGTTGGTTTGTTGTTTAACGCCGCACTCAGCAATATTCCAGCTATATGGCGGCGGTCTGTAAATAATCGAGTCTGGACCAGACAATCCAGTGATGATATCATGAGCATCGATCCACGCAACTGGGATCGATGACATACATCAACCAAGTCAGCGAGCCTGACCACCCGATCCCGTTAGTCGCCTTTTACGGCAAGCATGGTCGCCTTTTATGGCAAGCATGGGTTGCTGAAGACCTGTTCTACCCCGGAATCTTCACGGGTCGCAATAACTCAGACACCCATGCCCTGTTCTTTTTCCTTAACAGATGCGACACAAAGAACGCCCTACACTCATTGTGATACTAATATAGGAAATCAAACACTTAAGAACATTTCTACCCAGCAATTAATAGTCAAGGGCACTAATATATCAGTTCACAACAAAATCTATAAATTAATCATCCACCATTCTAACACAGGTTCTAATTGTCTCCATTATCAGTTATTAACCAGCAGGCGTGTCCTTCAAAGGAGAAGTTAGCAAACACAAGATGTATCACGGATTTCACGTGGACGCAATGTCACACACGTCTGTCATGTGATACATCTGTGATTGTGACAAGGGGTAGCGTGACACCCTTGAGGGACAACCTGGACATGCCATGCACAAAGCAGTTGAGTGTGATGACTCAGTTTGAACATGGCTTGGATAACTGCAAAAATAACATTCTCCTTTGCATCAAATGATTTTCAGAAAAAGTCATCGTGAGAAGAAGCTAGACACAAAACCAGTCCACAAATATTCCAAAGTAAAGTAAGTTGCATAGCTAACCAACTTCTAATGCTTAAGTGGAGGCCACGGTTGATATTGTTAATGTCAACATCTGACTTAGAAAATTCATTACTTTCTAAAGCCTATTTGAATTTGTTGAGATGTGACCGAACCGGTTGTTGTGTTAATGAGATTCCCATGACAGCATTTTCTCTTGTTCCATTGTGAGATTTATTATCACCATGGTTACCATCAAATGAGAACCAAAATCCATTTACAAATAAAATCTATTTCACATTTAAATTAATCTCAATCGTTACAATTTATAACAAGATAGTAGTAACTCACAAATGCCTCCAAAGATCTATTTTCAAATTGCCCTAAAAATATATATGATCCAAGTAAATTACAAAACATCATACCTTTGAGTCAGTGGAATTGAGAAATCAACAAAACGTGATGAAGGGTAGGCTTCCATTTGCACCATTTCCAGACTCAAACCAGGTATTAACCATTACAAGTGAACACACAACCTACTGCACTACCTCACAGAAACTTGAACCAACAAAAAGTCTTACCTTGGAGGTGAGGGGTTATTGTAAGCTCCTGTGTGTCTGGGATCCATGTCGCCATGGTGACGCATCATGGGGGGTGAGGGGGTGGGTAGTGGGCTGGGTGGGGCCTGCATGGGGTGGGTGAGGGGCCCAAGCCCCATGGGGCTGGGGTTGTGGAGGGGCATCAGGTCACCATTGATCTTGTCTGGCGGCGTCAGGGAGCCTGTCATCAGATGATGGCTTCCATCTGAAATGAAAACCATTGACGTAAGACATTGATAGCTTCATGGTGGAGGATGGTGGCCCTATCACCCAAGGCACAAGAATTTCCTGTGCCAGAACCTCTGATGTCGGGTTTGAATCTTGGTTTGCCCTGCAGGTTTGTCAGAACCATAGCTGTGCTCATGGGTTTGAACAAAGTACTAAACATCCAAGGCCTGTACTTCTTTAGGCTTAACTTCCACATCAAGCTGACACAACTTGATACAACTGAAATACTATCAAAACAGCCTTAAACCCAACTCAATTGACTGTAATTTAAAGATTATTTTCTACTCATCAGAAAAGTTCATCCTTGTGAAGTTAGAAAACATCATGTACACAAGTTGCATCAAGAAAAAAGTCTTCACATAACGGCAGATCAAGTATTACTTGCATTCAAACATCATGGACAACATTCACCACTTATGTAATTACTAAACGTGCCTTTTACAATATTGGAACCAGTCATCAAGAACCTGGCTTTCTTTCAAATCCTACTCTTTTACATATTGTACAAACAGAACTACTGCAAATATCAAGCACTATTAAAAAAAAGTACAATGAATTTCTTGAAACAAATATCAACCATCTTTCAACAACAAAAAAGGAAATTTGATCAAACCTGAACTAGGAATAAAGTCCCACGAGGAAAACGCTGATTGACTGAGACCGCTCCAATCCATTTCAACAAATTTCAAGAAAAAGTTATATACTAACACTCAATCATTATTCCACTGAACTTCCGAATGCTCACCGCAAGGAAATATGACCAAATGAAGAGCTTATTAAAAGCATTGCTTCATATAAATCCAATTGATCCTGTTTGTATTGTCCACGAAAAAAAAAGTACACAGGTCAATTATCTTTCTACCTGGTTTAAATTCTTCACAAAATACTACGACAAAGACGACCTCTGATAAGATCAACGCGATCATTGCATTCCTGGCTCAAAGCAATTAGGCCGAGTGAGAAAATGCACATCTGAAACTTATAATCAATCCCCAGATTCACATCACCCAAAATAAATGTATATAAACACACAACACTGGACACTTTCTCAGAGCAAAATAGTTATTGGACAAAAGCAGGGTTGAACAACGATGCACGCATCTAGTTCCCACACTATCTTCGATTCTGCACACAAATCTCAACGAAACTGCGACAAAAAGACATTGATAGAAAGGAAGAGACAGCTCAGCATTGAAGAGCCATATGGAGAAATTGCGGACGTCAACAAACGCACAAGTCCGCAGCTGCCCTCTCCGATCTCGTACACAAATTTTACCTTCAAGAACATAGTGCTGAAAATCCTCGTAAGGAAAGTCGGACGATGTGGACATCATTTTGACGTTCACTTTACGCCAGTTGTGACACCCTATGCAAACCAGGAGCAAAAATATCTTGTCGATATTTTGTACGGATTTCGATTTTTCGAATGACTAAGTTATCTGCAAAGGGCCAGCACAGAGCAGTGGGTTTATCAGGTATTGACATTTCTGGTGCATCTGGTAGCGGGGCAAATTTTCCCACACCTCTTAGGCCTTCTCCTTGGATACAGTCGTCTAATGCCAGCCATTTACGACAATCTTGGCGGCGTCTACAACCATGCCGTATATCGTGGCTGAGTAAAATTAATTGTCATAATTAAAATCATACAATGGATCGCTGCTTTTAAATGGCCTCCTTGTGGATAGAAAAAGGAACTCCCCCCTATGAATTTTCTCCTAAGCAGTGCTTCCTGATTGATCCTGTTATGGTTTATTTATGAGACCTGCAAGTGGCAGTAATTATAGTTAATCAATAGTTCGTGTTGTTTAGTCACAATTAATACTTGCAAGCAGAGCCTTTGAAATTCTAACGATTAGCTGGTTCACTAGTGGAGAATAGCAAATTTACACTGCATCCAATGGCAGTAATCTCTTCCCGTCCAATGGAGATGCCATCCGCTTGGCGGAAACATAAACCGTCAAAAAAATTATCAATGACTAGAAATTGCTTGTGATAATACTGAAAGATACCGCAAAAAACAAGCATGTGAATTTGAGCGGGCAGAGTTAAAAACATTCAATTAGAGTTTGATCAATAAAACTTTGTTGTTCTGTTTGGGTTATTTCATGTCAATATAATCATAATAATCATAATAATCATAATGTGATAAATTAATTTTTCTGTTATTATTTATAAAAATTAAAATGTTATGATGATAAATGTTTTATTAACATAACAATGAAAAGTGCTCATATTATGAAGAAATTAAAACGGTCAATTCTTTAAATACCAATATATAATCATTAAAATAATTAGCGGGACAGTGACTGGTGTTGCATGGTGGTAGTCTCTTTTGGATGAGAGTAGGAAATATTTCAAAGGAATTTCCTTCTGAACAAAGAAACAATTGAATCTTTCTTAGGCCAGACCTTTCTTTTCGGGGAGTGCTTTTTTTCTGACTTTGATAGTTAAACATTTGGTGGGTATGTCGGGGGGGAAAAGCATTGTAGAGTATTTCTTTTATATTCTTAAAGTTTGATTTGAATTGATAAGATGATAAAAATATATGTGCCTATTTATCATAGGAAACAATTGTTTTAGTCACATAAAAATCTCTTGGATTATTTTTATTGTCAATGTGATATTTACCATTGGTGGTATAAAACATATATTTTCTTCTGAATTTTCAATTATTAAGGTCAGTGGACCCGTGAACCAAGTGATAAAAATTTAAGGCCTTAATTGTATTAACCTTTTGGCAACTTGTTTTTCATGTCAGTCAGTCATACTTAGATGGGCTGGATGTAGTGCAACATATTGAATTATTTTACATTTAGTACCTATTACTTCCAAATTCTTGTTATCAATTCAAGGTCTTACAAAAGGTTTTAATTCACTACAGATTCACAGATGTAAAGATTCGGGTATTTTTATATTGTGGAGTAATATTGATACTGATAACTTGCTCTAGCCTTGCTGTTGATTGGCTTCTCATCCGATGTAATACTGATGCAAGTTTCCTACTCTTGGCACCCACATTAAAAGGTTTCTGGCAAGCAGTCCTTGAGATCATTTGGCCTCCTGTATCCCTAAAACCATCAGTACTTGAATGGAACCTTGTGTAAATTGGACATGGTGCTTTTGTCCTTTTCGCCAATAAGTTAACGAATACACCAGTCCCATACAGTTGTAAAACATTTCTTGTTGAGGATCGAATGTCAAGAGTCCCTACGAACAACCCTTACTAAGTAACCTGGAATAACGGCCTTTTGACAAATCTGCGTTCCCGCTGGCTTTTGAAACGAAGTCCTGGTGGAATGGCAACTCTAAACCTCAAAGCAAAGGGAAATTGTTATTTCCTAGACAAGGGGAAACCCTGATGGTTAGACAAGATGACTTCCTTGGAAAAATATACTTATATGAATATCACCGATGTTTTGTTCAACAAAGACTTCTGAGGCACTTTATTTGCCGGCCCTCACATGGATTACCAGTCCAAGCCTAAATTTACCAGCAAAACCCCTGGTAATTACCGGTGAACGGGATCACTGCAAAGCGACAAGAACAGAATGAATGGATCCTGACCCATGCCAAAATGACATCTGCCCGGTGGGCCATAGAGAAGGAATGTCAATACACTTGGCCACTCTACCAACACGGAGCCTGAGAAACTCACCCTTTTTTTCATCTCTTCAGCACAGTTTTACCAGATGCAAAATGATGTGTCACATACACTTACAAATTGAGAATGGGCTCAAAAAACTTACCCTGCAAGTCTGTGGAACACAAAAAGGAGGTAAGGAGATTTATTTTTTATTTCTTGTTTTAGGATTCCGGCGACATTGTAAACGCCAAAGTCAAAATAGAATAAATTGACTATTTTTTTTACATTTGTTATTGCAGGATAAGGTATAGGAATTCTCTGAACACGTAGTTCTGAATTGTCTTCGAGGAAATTCAGAAAATATATTACAAACTGTCAATTAAGCAATCACACTTTTAAATCTGGAGGAAAATAAATACATTTTCCGACCACATACATTAAATCTCAAGTCACACTTTTTGCAAAAACAAATTGTCTATGAAACACGCTCATGATTTGGGTTGTCAATGGTGGATGAAGCCAGCCTTAAGTTTTTAAAGATATAGTATCTTACTTTACGGACCTTAACACAGTTTTTGAGTGAGTATGGTTTTACTCCGCTTTTAGCAATATTCCAGCAATATCACGGCGGCATACACCAGAAAGGGGCTTCACACATTGTACCCATGTTGGGAATCGAACCTGGGTCTTCGGCGTGATGAACGAACACTTTTAACACTAGGCTACCAGACCTCCCCCACAGTTTTTTAAGTAAGATGTAGTGACAACTAGAAACACAAATAAATGCATATCATAAACAGGTATTTGGCTAAAATGTACCATATTTTCTTGACTACAATGCTCACCCAAGGATAATATGTGTACCCTTCCCCCGTCTTTAGGGGATACAGTATTTTAGGGAATATTTCATTTTAGAGTATTATGACCAGTCAAAAATTACATCAAATTCAGTGAACAAACAGTTAATAACAAATTTGGTGAACAAAAATGTGAAATTTGCGAAAAAACATGACTAGACATTTATAATTTTAATTGTATTTCTGGTTCTGATAAAGATTAGAGATTAACATTACCATGTGATGTTCTCAAAAACTAAGAACAATCACCTGGACACCCATTTTCTCCTAGACGCTCCAATGATTCATTCAAAGATTACTCAATAAAAGTATTTTGATGCAACGATGGCAAGAAAATGCATCTGAAACTATGACAGTTCTAAATACAAAAGTTGCATATGCAATTTATTCATCAGCATGGATGGGCAAATAATGTGATGGCCAAACAGCAGCAAGAAGGTGCTTCGGGATGGTAGTAACAGTCAATACCGGTAGCTTACTGTAACACTAGCCAACACTACTGTGTGCTAATCCCTACTGTTGAACCAGTACTGGTACATTGGCCTTAATGCTAGGCTTGACAAACACGCTGCTTCCCAGCACACATAATAAAGGCTCAAGCCAGATCAGGTTTGAATTCCATATTTATAGGGCTATTTATCATGAAATGTGTTGGCTCACTTCCTCGGATCAATGAATAACTGAATGAAAATCTGGGTATATGTGATACATTTGTCAGAGCAAGGAAGAATTTGGGCAGTTTTTATCACTGTTATGGAGGAGGGAAATATTTGTGAGGTGGTGGCAGGGTGGCAGGGTGGCAGGGTGGCAGAGGGAGGGTGCACACAAGCTTTATTAACTATGAAAATCACAGAAATCGTGTGAAATTCTAATACCCCTGCCACAGCTCGTCCACTGCATAGCTCTGGCCTGTTTACAACCAGTGCTGTCACAGTACATCAGAGTGAGTGAGTGAGTGAGTTGGGTTTAACACCGCTTTTAACAGTTTTACAGTTATATCACGGCGTGTCAGCTTAATGTGGGAGGAAAGCCTGAAGTGATGCAGGTCTCAGACATTTACCACTTCGGTGAAACCCACGAGCATGGGTATGGTGCTGACAAACCTAGAAACATAATCGGGGCGAACCGGGATTCGAACCCACAACCATAGGTTTCTGGCGTGCCCAAGGGACACAACTCTGCACAGCGAATGCCTTAGATGACTGGGCCACGTGTGCCCCTGTCCATTAGATAGGTAAATTGTGACCAGATAGATTTTTCAAGTGAATGCAGACTCTGTTACTCTTATGATGTGTAGGCACTATAGAAGCGACTAGGGGGATCAGGTGGTCAGGCTCGCTGACTTGGTTGATGCATGTCATGGTATACCAATAGCGTGGATCTATGCTCATGATGTCAGTCACTGGATTGTCTGGTCCAGACTCAAATATTTACAGGCCGCCGTTACATAGCTGGAATATTGCTGAGTGAGGCATTAAACGACAAACAACAAGTTGTATGTTTACAGTTATATGATACCGTCTTGCGTCAAGCTCATCAGTGGGTGAGGTGAAACCTCTGCTGACCACACCTTATGACCTACAGACGGATTTACACCCTCCTTTGTCACAATCCGGACTCCACCTCTGCATGGCACTAAGCGAGGGAAGGTGACAGGATACGATCACGAGAACTCCACTCTCAAAAATTATTGTTTGCAAGACAAAATGGACTGTATGCTGCATTCGGATTGCAAGTCTCAAGGATTCATTATGCACACAACTGGAGAGATACATTTTTGCCGACGCGTCAAATCTCACGGTCAATACAGTAGGTACTGCTTGTACTTTCAAATGGTGATGTCAAAGTTGTCATTTTTGAAATCCGTGTTTTGTAAACTTCCAGGCCTATTCCATAATAACTCCTGCCCTTAATGACTGTCTACATTCCACGACCTGTTTCGCCCATCAAGAAGTAGTTGTGGTCACGTTTTCTGCAATCATCATGTCACATAAAGAGACACCATCAACGGAGAAACAGTGGCTTGAAATGTTCATGTTCACTTCACATCAATCGTACAATAGGAATTTACCTGCGTCTATATATATGCTTCACTTCCAGGGGACTTTCAGTAATAAATGTTTGGGGTAGCTAAACATGGAGGTCCCATTCTGGTGACATGAAGGACTCTTCACTTGACTTCATTAATACATGACCACATTGCACATGCTCTGAAGGTTTTTTCGCCACTTTTAGAAATATTCCAGTACTTTCACGCGGGGACACCAGAAATGGGCTTCACTCATTGCACCCATGTGGGGATTGAACCTGGGACTTCAGAGTGACGCTGTGAGCGAACGTTTTAACCACTAGGCTACCCCACTACCCCAGAAGCCTTAAGCCTATCATGGACGTGTCAAATCTTATTTGCCTTGGCAGTCCACTCACATATGAGGAGCCACAGAAAAGCCAGAGGATACCTACCTAGCATACCATGTGACTGATCGGGGATTCCGACCGTCACCGACGACGTAACGCCATTGTGAGTGTTGTGGTAGGCAGCGTGCCCTCCAAGGCGCTGATCCCCATACAACTGCTCCTCTTTAATATAACCATTGAGGGGCGTCACTTTCCCATTGGATAAATCTACTGGATTGTCTATGTTTCTTTGCGCCATGTGGCCATTAAAGCGGCGTTGATTAGTGTTCACACAAGACACCAGAGGGTGCTGGGGTGTGACCATGTAACCGGCATTCTGCTGTGATGTGCTGAAGGCCTGGGCGCCCCGAACGGCGTACTGGACTCCATTCTGTGTGAGAACTTGCTCCTCGAGGTTCAGGCCGTACACACTCTGAAACAACAAATGTCCATATGTTAAAGAACACTGTACAAAACAGGCCAAATACACATATACTTTAAGCAAATATTGTTCCAAGCTGAAGTTCACAAGACATGTTTTGTTTGTTTGTTTGTTGTTTAACGCCACACTCAGCAATATTCAAGCTTTATGATGGCAATCCGTAAATAGTCCAGTCTGGACCAGACAATCCAGTGAATAACATCATGAGCATCGATCCACGCAATTGGGATATGATGACATGCATCAACCAAGTCAGCAGTCTGACCACCTGATCCTGTTTGTCTTTTACAGCAAGCATGGGTTGTTGAAAACCTATTCTTCCAAGATTATCATGGTTGCAGCAATAGAAACTAATTGTCTCATCCATTATGATGATAACATGTAGCTAACTATACCTGTAACATGCTATGACCTTAACTACTGGACAGTTTGGCAAGGACTATAAGACTAGCGCCAATTTCTAACACGGTGGTTGGGAGTCGCCTCCTTTACTCCACTAGCCATTTAAACGTTTGAGCTCGACATCATTCTACAAGTCTGCACTATGACTGCCATTAATAATATACCCTGCAGATGGTTTATCCTTGAATATCAACTTCAACATTTGAAAGAAAAGTATAAAAAATATTTTTTTCTGTTTATAGATGCCAATTTCTTATCACATTCATATAACATACATTCATATTCATATTACTTTGACGATATCAAACTATGTCAAATTTAAGCGCAAAAACTAATTGAAATTTAATTTTTTTTACGTCTAGAAAAGTCGAACATGTTTCATTTATGCCTACAGACTCTTATCGACGGCGATAGCCTCCCTATAAAAAACAATGGATATACAGTCAAGTCTCGTTAATCCGACATCGTTGGTTGCACATGATTGTGTCGGATTAACGAGTATGTCGGATTAACGAAATTAAGTGATTTGTGATCGAAAATCGGACGTCTTAACAACTTGCTTCATCTACTTAAAATAGTCTGTCAGTGCGTGTCAAAACACGGGGTTGTGTACTCGCGGTCAGATGACCACGGAGTACGCTGATCACTGTGTCGGATTAACGAGACTGATTAATGAGTGATTTCGGCAATTCGTGGCAAATTAGGTGTGTCGTAGTCGGAGTGTAAGAATGTCGGATTAACGGGACTAAATAGCACTGAATCAATCGGTTCCCATGATTTGTGTCGGATAAAGCCGAGTGTCGGATTAACGAGTGTCGGATTAACGAGACTTGACTGTATACAACTCTAGTGGAATTAATTACAAATTAATACAAAGATAGAACGATGGTTTTTTAGCATCCTATCATGATGATGGGAGGCACCCTCATTGAAAGTGTCGATATAAATATGGATTAGTGGGTGTGGTATCAAAAACAGTTCAAACAAACATACTGTCAACTTGTTAACTCAAACACTTTTGTGCTACTGCAGGACAACTCAGCCAACGGTAAACTGTCCGTCCGTCACCTTGAGTTAGTGAGTATGGTTTTTGCCGCTTTTAGCAATATTCCAGCAACATCACGGCGAGGGACACCAGAAAATAGGCTTCACACATAACACCCATGTCGGGAATCAAAAACGGGTCTTGGGCCTGACAACTGTCATCTTGACAGGTTTTAAATAATAAGGCAATTGTGGCTGAGAGAATGTTGTCTCGCAGGGTCGTCTAGGTTCCAGCTAGGTGACGCAGCACTCAGCAATATTCCAGCTGTATGATGTAAATAATTGAATCTGGACGAGACAATCCAGTGATTGACATGAGCATCGATCCACACGATTGGGATACGATGACATACATCAACCAAGTCAGCGAGTCTGACGACCAGATTCCATTAGTCGCCTCTTACGGCAAGCATGGGTTGTTGAAGACCTATTCTACCCCGAATCTTCACAGGTAGTGTTTCCTATTTCAGCCTATCCAACAACAGGATAAGGGTAGGTCGGTAGTCTTTTTTGTTGTTCTTTTTTCCATTGAAACATTTATTTGCAGTGTATCACTGAAAGCCTGTTTCCTAACAAATTTTATTTTCAGGGCAAAGACACAGACAGTGGAATAAAATATGGTGAAAGTCAGGAATACGGTAAAAAGGTTTTGGGTCAGTGGGTCCAGATTTGGGTCGGGAATTTGGAAACACATACACACATTTGCATAGTCCGCATAGAAGGACTCATCAGTGACAAGTTTGGTCAGAAAATCTACCTGTCTCTATACCCAACACACAACATCGTTAGACTGAACTAAACTGCAACATGGAGATTGAGAGAGTTCAGTTTGTTTGTTCGTTGTTTAACGCCGCACTCAGCAATATTACCGCTATATGACTGCGCTCTCGAAATAATCGAGTCTGGACCAGACAATCCAGTGAATGACATGTGCATCGATCTCGGCAATTGGCGTAAGATGACATGCATCAACCAGGTCAGCGAACCTGACCACCCTATCCCATTAGTCCACTCTTACGACAGGCATAGTCGCCAGAGATTGAGAGAGGCTGACATACGAACACAAAGGCAGAAGAAAGACACTGTAAACACTGCACCTGCAGTTGGGTTTAAGATGAGGCCCATCTCCTACTTCATTGTCCCTTATACAATACAGAATGACAAATTTGTTAATAAATGGCCATAATAGTTATATCGAAAATCTGAAGGTGCTAAAAAAAACTCGCGCAAAAAGCTATCTTAATTGTTTCTAAAAAGACAGACCTCCCCTGCAAAAATGTTTTGCATACATTCTCTACAAAATTCACTGTATAATTATTTGTGTCTTATCAAGTATGTTATATTATTGCTTGTAGATGGTAAATTGTAAATGTTGTGTACTCTTCCCTATTTGGGTGTTTGTGCAATAAAATAATATTTTCCCAAATACCTCATCTGATAAATTATCTTGGAATTATCAGAGTCTTTGACCTACTGGCTTGCCTAGAACTCCTGATTACATCCTTGCTAGTTTCAGCAAACAAATCACATCAATATTTTACAATGAACTTCATAAAAACAGATATCAGGGACTTATCCCGGATTCCAAACTGAGTACCCTTGGCAGGCAAACTGAGCAAAAATCTTGATATTGTTCAAAACTGGATTTTTAGAAATATTCCTATTTTCGTAAATTCTAAGCAATTGGGAAAGTTTTAATTTGAAAGGGAATTTTTACTGTCAATGGCTGCAGACTGAGCAGGTCTAGATATATCCCTGGATATGAAAAGAACTTCAAACATAGTGGGCACAGACACTCATACAAGCCACATTCACAATATCCACATAAAATCAGGCTAGAAAGACTGGCCTAGTACAAATACTAGGACTAAATACTTGGAGTGAGGGTCTGGAGATTCTGTTTACACTGGGCCAGGAGCCCTGGCTGGTATGTATTGGACAGTGTGATTGACAGTGTAAATGACAGCAATAGACATCTGCGTTAGTATCACACCTGTATCACGGACCCACCCCCACCCCCCACCCCCCACCCCCCCCCTCACACACACCCCAACAGATGGTGGAGCCCATCCAACAATCTCAAGGACAGTGTAGCTTGTTAGATCATGTTTTATAAACATGCTGCCACTATTGTATTGACCGCACCTTCCTATCTCATAGTTACCTTCTGAGTGCTACTACCTTCATAGACATGCTCAGAGATTTTTTTTGAATTGTAAGACCTAGGTTTTACAACTGATATTTTATAAACTGGCCTTTTTTATATAAATATAATGTTGACTTTTGATCGGTTAAAAGTCACAATTATTTTTACATGACATGAACTGAACCTGCGACCTCACATATCGTGGTAAGTTCTGTAAACCAGGGCAGGTGATGAAAGATTTTCAATCTTACATGTCATGACTTTTGTTGTGGGCATGCTGCACATGATCTTTCTCTCGCACGCTTTGATGGATTTCCTTTTATACCGTGACACACTGTATTGTATCACTATAAAGTATCTCTATGTTTTCTTATTTTTGCTAGTATTTCTTGAATTTAGATTGTTCATGAGTTTTGTTTTACATTTTCAACCGAAACCAAGGAGTGTGTTATCCAACTCATGAACCTTCTAGATTCACGAAACACCTCAGTCATGTTTTACCCTCAATGTAGAGCTGGAATGGTGGTGATTGGCACAAAAGTCATGCTTGCACTTTACAAAAAGGCTTTCACTGTTTATATCTTAATAATCCATGAACTTGGAACATGTCAGATGATTTGTTTGTTTGTTGTTTAACGCCTTGCAAAGCAATACTCCAGCTATATCACAGCCATCATGAATAATCAAGTCTGGACCAGACAGTGTTGAATAAGGGTAAGACTTTTTTCAAATATTGGACCTGGCAGCTTTAGCAGTCCTGATATCAAAACACAAATTTCCGAATAAGTAACATTAAACACAACTTCAGGACTTACTCTAGACTAACATTTAGTCTCTGAAATCTTATATTACACAATATCCTTCTTGACTCTAAAAATATATAAAAATTCCCTATGCTGATTTCAGAATAGAGCTAGCTTGAGCTGGCTAGACTTGCTTTTATATGCATTTCTAGATTATTTTTTTTCCATAAAAGAAATATATTCCATGGTCATGGTGCAGGACTAGACTTACTCCAATACAACTTTTGAGCTTTTTGAATTGAAGAAACAGGGCACTATCTATTTGGATGCCCCAACCATTTTGTAAAAGATCTGGCAGTATATTAGCCAATGTATTGAGTGTGTGATGACGCTGGGTGAGAACGACACACCAAACGCCAGGTAATCTGTGCTTATGCCGCCCACTGAAATCATTCTGTAATCATCCTTGCTGATGACACAGCCCATATTTCCTACTGCAGCTAGACTAGGATGTGTTAAGTCCTCGTATCACCTACTGCGATGTTGACTATTTACGTGCCATCCCTGTTTCACCACATCATGCTGAGTAAATTGTTAGCATTGTGCATTGTATTTGCTGTCCACATTGAGCTTATACAGGGCTTGGACAAATTTCA